GTAGAAAAACCAAAGCAAGTAAAAAACACTTGTCAAAATAGGTAACATGCTTCTGAAATGAAAAGATAGGGGATTGGTTGGTTTGTTTCGTTGGTGAAGATGTGCGGTGCAATGGTGTCCGTTTCGTACAGCTGTTTCAAAAATTGATACAATCGAGGTTACAAGAAATGACAAAAATCCCAAGTGGCTTATCTTTATAATTACTATGCTTGAAAATTTGAAACTTGGGCAAAAAAACACATCAGAACAGTACACCGAACCAAGAATGTAAAACCCAAGAACATAATGTAATCTAATAAATATGTCTTCATAACAGTCTCTTCTGTAATTTTATCAAACACATACATAGATCATCAGATAATATGTGAAATAAAACATTAATCTAACTTTCCAATTCAGCATTCAATTTTAGAATATGTTGTTTAAGGTTTTCTCATGAACAATAATAAAAACAATAAATATGATACTCAACATACATATGTTTAGACAAACTCTTTCGAAAGTATTCCTTGGAGTTAAGAAATGGTCACGTGCCTCCTTCACAGATGCAGACTGCGTTTTTCAGCTTTAGGTGATGCACTTTGTCTCGTTCCTGCATAAGATCCAACCTAGAAAAAGTAGAGCACAAAATGGTACAAAAGGAGAAGAGAGACACGAAAAGAGATAAACATGATCATAACCATGGAGTCGGTGAATACCACATAAGAGTCACAGTTTTTACACTTAGAAGTTTGAGTTTCTTTTCCTCTAAATCAGCTAATAATTTTTCTACTGTTACAACGATCTCTCAGACTCAAAGAAAGCCTCACTGAAGTGTTGCTACTTCTGCAACTTGATTACCAGACACCATGATTATCCAGGCAACAGCAGGAGCCACATAACAAGATTGTTTCTAAAGTATCAAAATAGTAATCTAACTTCTGTATACTAAAAAATTTATCTTTTGCTGTTACCACATCGTTCTTAGAAACCAAAGATTTCTCTTAAATTATCAGTTGTGTTTTTAATTTCCACATCTAAATGTGAGAATATATCCTTCCTATTTATTTTTCTTAATTCAATTTCACAGTGATTAGCAATATGAAGATAAAAAGTAAATATCACTATATAAATATATATATATATATATATATATATATATTATTTTGAATTTGATTTCAATCCAATTATTTATATTTAGATTACATTTTAATCGAATTTTTAAAAATTCAATTTACCTCCTACGATCACGTTTCAACATTGAACTCATAAAGAATAAATTATTTATTCTTATTTTAAAAACATGCACTCAAATTCAACTATTAAAAATCACTTTATACTTTAAAATTGTTAATTAATTTCATATTTGATGGAATGTAAAATGTCAACAAATTTTCATCATAAATTTATTCTTAGAAAATATATTTATAATTTTAAATTATTTTGAATTTAAATTGGTCTATTAAATTATCAAATTCAAAATCGATATATTAATTTAAATTAAAAATTTGATCCATTATTTATATTTGAAAAACTCTAAATTAATTCTTTTATAATATATAGATTTAAATTTAATTCCACTCTAATGAATCGAATTTAGTTTGGATTTGAATTGATTTTCAAGTCTATACTTAAAATGCAATTTAATTTAGTAGTATTATCACTTTTAAAATATATCTGTATTTGTAGTCATATTTTTCAAAATTATTTAATGTATTAAACTTAATAAATCCTAACTTTAGTCAATATTTTTACAACACCATTTCGTTTTATATATTCTTATTGAATTTAAGTTCTTATATCGCTACTTTAATTATGTAAATATTATTCATTGATCAAATTTATTTGGTTTTCTTTGTTTCTAATTTATTTTATTATTGCTTTTGCTTCTCATAAATCCCAGATCCAAATAAATGTCATAATTTTATACAACTTATTTTCAATTTAACTATAGCATTATACATTTTTCTGCTTTAATCATCACCATCATTATCATATATATGGTTTTTATTCAATATTGACAACTGAGCAATAATTTAAAAAGTAAATCTAGATGTTTTGACTAGTGTACAGAAAATTATTGAAAGTCTAACAATAAGCTTTTGATGAAAAAAATTCTTCTCTTTTTTTAATTACACAATTATATATAACCATACGAATGGATTGAAAATAAAGTAGGAATTATGAACATGAATTACAATATATGTGGACAGCTATTTGAGTTCACAGATGGACATTTTGAATATTTATTAACATGTTTACTATTTGGAACTGGATAACAATCGATTTTTGAAGTTCTTTTACGTTCAAATACTAAAATTTTATTGAAAACAACTAATTTTAGTACAAGAGTTACAATTATTGGATCCAATCTATGAGAGACATCCTCAATACAAAACAATTCAAGAACCAAAATTGCACTGATGCCACAAACTCAAATGCTTCAGTTGTCAATAATACAACATTGATCCACGTGCTTTTCCCCTTCAATTACATATTTCTAATTTAGTCAATAATTATTTCACAATATACCCTGCTTCTTTTATCCTTAGTATCATTCATGAAATTCATTTATATTATATGAAAGACATGATCACCGTTGATTTTATTTCATTCCACGTTATATTATTACTCATGACATTATGATTTTGTCATTTTCAATGTTATAGGAATATTTTGAAATTTTCATGCGTTCATATGAATCATTTGAAGACTTTTACCTTTCGAACCTGCAATGTGTTTGAGTTGTGGGCATGAATTGTAATTGAAAGATTTCTTCATTCTAAATTTTATCTTCTGCATTATTCCCACTTTCTCTGTTGGAGCAATAGCAGATAGTCAGTTTCTTAATCAAGCTTAGACATAATTAATCATTTGTGGCTATTTCATGAAGTTAACGAGATTTACCAAAGTCGTGTGTTTGTTCTGAAGTGAAAAACCTTCTATCTATCTCAAAGTGTAGTTCTTTCAAACATTAAGATGATTGACGAAGCAAGTATTCTTCATGAATAACAAATAATTGTTCTGCTACCTGTTATGCATAATTCGGAACATTATTAGCAGAATTCAAATGATGTCAATGTAAACAACATAAAACTAAAAGAGGCACAATCTTTTCACATAAAATTAGGCTTGAGTGATAGAGTTAAAAAGTACTTTAGACTGTCGAGAATACGTTTTATTTACTTCAAATCATAATACGGTAAATGAACCAAATCATAGAATATAAAAGTGGAAAGATGAATACATATAAACCTGTTCAATACTGCCATCTTCTATCTCTGTGTTGAATGTAAGCAACATACATTCATAGAGTAGGTTTTCTAATTCTTCAATAGGAACCAATGCTGAAATTAAATGAAAAATCACGTAAAAGAGACATTGGTGAAATGTTAGAAGAAAAGAGAATGGAAAGAACATGAAAAGAAGCGAATTGAAAAATAGTTTACGACCTTTGGATTTGGAGAACAAGGAGAATAAATCAGCAGCAAGTTGTTGCGATTTCTGAAGGGAGTCAGAACCAGCCCATTGATTTTCAATAGCCATTTGAAGGGCATACCAACGAGAAAGAAGCAAAATGATACTCTTTTGCAGCAAAATCGTAGGATTTGTCTCTGTTCTCTCGCAAAGGGTACTATTCTTGGAATCCATTTGAGGCACCTCCGTGTGTGTTGCGAGAAAAAATATTCATACAACACACAGAGGTGAATAATGAATGGAAATGCATACTTGTATTTATACCAAATGAATGCGAAAAATGTTGAAGACGATCGATGAGGTGAAGAGAAAAACTATTGTATTTTTAACTGTTTTCATCTTTCTATATATGAAAATTATGAATAGTTCAATGTTTTTTGTAGTTAATTTATTATTGAAGGTAAAAACAACATATGTTTTTTTTTTTAATTCTATTCAGTTATATTATCTATCAATTTTTATTATTTTGGTCATGATACCATGACTAATAACTGTAGGAACTTATCACCAAATATAATTTGATAATAATTCAATATATTTTTAAAACTGAATTGATCAACATCATATATAATTTAAAATTTCACTAAATTATAGTTCTGTCCACAAAATAGTATATAAATAAGCTTAATCATTTGATTTGATTTTTACGAAACTTCTAATAACAAAGTTAGTTCTTTAGTTTTTCAAAATTAAATAATTTTGCTTCACTACATGTCTGGGTAAAATAGTACTAATAACTCATTAGGTAGGATATTAAAAATAAATTGACATAAGTTGACATTTTTCTATTAATAAGTGAACAATATATTTATGGTGAATACAGATGTTCTAATTTTAAAAAACTAAGATAAAATTTTATAGTTAAAACTTTATTGGAACTAGAATATCATAACCCTTTTGTCTTTTGGTCTTCCCTTCTCTGCCTGTTTATCTTCCCTCCATAAAATTCTACGAAGAACTTGCTTTGCACACACCTTGAAACTAAAATCTCTACCATTTAAAAAATGGTTATCATAAACATTATTTTAATTCTTTTTAAACAAATTTGATGATAGAAATTGATAGTGTACAGCAGTCCCAAATCAACTTGAAATTGTTCGACATTGTTTGTAGTACTAAGAAATGTGTAGTAATAGAGGTAGAATCATTTTTTTTTCTACCTACATATTAAGGACTTTTTTTGGAGATAGATTGTCACCAAATATCAGCATCTCATTCTCTGTTCAGAAACAAACGGAAAGAAATTCCAAAGAAATTACACAAATTATTGAGTAGGAAACAGAAATAATATAGCAGGAAACATAAATAGATTACAAAGTACACAAAATTATAGAGTAGGAAACAGAAGAATACGAATAAAATCACAAAATAAATCTAAAAGTTAGGGAAAAGAATGATATCGATTGGTTTTGTGTTGTTGTCGCGTTAATTAGTAAAAAGAAAGAAAAATGGTTTTGAAGGAAGAGGCTCAGATTTAGGTTTTGTCAGACAGAGAGGGGAAAAGAGCGAGATGTCGTGGCTGCGAACACACAGTGAATCGCCTCGCCAGAACAGAACATGACCCGCCTCTCCTTCTCCGAGTGCCTGATTCAATTTCAGGAAACATCGTCACTGCCTCGTTATATCTCGTTATATCCAGATGAGGAAGAGGAAAACTAGTAAGAAGAAGAAGAAGAAGAAAAATGGACAAAACATTATGTTTGCCATTATGAAGAAGGTGTTGTTGATGATGATGATGAAGGAACATAAAAGAGAGAGAGAGGGAGAGAGAGAGAGAAAGAGAAAGAAAGAGTTACTCATAAAGGATCATCGGCAATTGCAAGATCTGAGATGATTCATGCCATGCCTCCCACACTTAAACATTAGATAGCATGCAACAAAAGGTAAGAGAGTGAGTAAGACTCAGAACAAAAAGAGAGAAACAGTGTCCATGGCTGCGTCAACAGAAACACCTCGCCAGGACACGTCAACATCCATCACCGCCTCACTCATAAATGCCATCGAAGCCACCAACAACCACCGCACTCACTCACCTCTGTCCGATAGGAGAGGAGAGGAGACGGTGGTAAAAACAGAAAGGCACTGTCACTATTATATATATTGGCCGAATCAACCCTCATGCTTTACTTCTTCTATTTGGGCCTGGGCCGGGCCCTTATCCACTTTTTTTATTCTATAAATACCAAAAGATCGCATTTTATTTTTAAAATACCTTAAAAAATCAAACTTAACTATTTGAAGAGCAATTATATACATATATTTTTATTTTCTTTTCTTATCATATATTCCCATCCGTACAAATCAATTAAGCAAATGAATGACATCCAAATTCAAATAAGAAAACCAAATTGGTGTTAAATTGGTATATGTCCAAATAAAGAGAGATATGTTTAGTTTTGGGAATTGGAAACTCCAAGTTTGTCAAAAAATCACTTTCAGCAAAATTCTATGCACAGGATCGCTCTTCGACATATTCACAGGCAAATTGTAGTGGTGGAATAAGTAATCCATGAGAAAGTTACTCAAGATAATGCTTGGCATGGCGCATTACCATGTACATTTCACTAATTACAAACATGTTACCAGCCCACTCAGAAGAGAGGGTCAAATCCTGCTGTTTTTCCACATTCAACCTGTTTTGGGTTCATATATTCTACATTCAATACGAAAAATCTGTTTGAGAACCTGAATTTTTGAAAATAACCAAATGACAACTATCTTTTAATATTAAAATGCTGATTGGTTTTGTATCATTTAGTTTATAATATTGCAGAGTTCATGTATATATATAATGGTTGCCCTAGTAAAGAGATGCATCAACATATTATTACCAATCTGTGTAGAGATGGATTTGGATTTTGTAAGCTGTGCCCTGCTAGTGCTGTTGGCATGCACCTCCATCCATGTTACATTTTCATTCCGAGGAAGATTCAGAAAACCACACCACAAACTTCCTCCAGGACCCTATCCTCTTCCCATCATAGGAAACCTTCTTCAACTGGGTAACAAGCCCCACCAATCACTGGCCAAGCTTTCCAGCATACATGGCCCTCTGATGAGCCTAAAGCTGGGCCAAATAACCACCGTTGTGGTGTCTTCAGCTGAGATGGCCAAAGAGGTGCTCTTAACCAATGACCACCTTCTGTCAAACCGAACCATTCCCCAATCTGTCTGTGTTCTGAACCACGAAAACTATAGCCTTGCCTTCATTCCCGTTTCCCCTCTTTGGCGCGACTTGAGGAAAATATGCAATGGCCAGTTGTTTGCACGCAACTCTCTCGATGCTAGCCAAGATGTTAGGCGTAGCAAAGTGCAACAACTCCTATCCGAAATCCACCGATGCTGCCAAACCGGTGAAGCAGTGGATATTGGAACAGCGATCTTCAAGACCACCATCAACTTATTATCAAACACCATTTTCTCCATGGATTTGGTTCAATCTTCTGGCAAAGCCGGAGAGTTCAAGGAACTGGTCACCAATATCACCAAACTGGTTGGAACACCAAACCTGGCTGACTATTTTCCTGTCTTGAAGATGATTGATCCACAAGGCATAAAAAAACGTCAGGCTAAGAATGTCAAGAAGGTGTTGGACATTTTTTCCCACTTGGTTGACCAACGGTTGAAGCAAAGAGAAGGTACACACGTTGACGTGCACAACGACATGTTAGACTCTCTTCTCAACATCTCTCAGGAGAAGAAGATGATGGACAAAACAATGATTCAACATTTGTCACATGTATGAACAATGATCCTTATATTAGCATGGATTAGATTTTTTGTAAAAGTTTGAAATTTATAATTATGTTTGACCAGGATTTGTTTGTTGCCGGAACTGATACGACGACGTCTACACTGGAATGGGCAATGAGTGAGTTAGTACGCAATCCAGAGATTATGTCAAAGGCAACAGAAGAGTTGGAGTTAACCATTGGTAGAGGTAACCCTTTGAAGGAATCAGACATTGCAAGACTTCCGTATTTAGAAGCTATAATAAGAGAGACACTTCGGTTGCATCCACCAGTTCCATTTTTACTGCCTCGAAAAGCTGAGACAGATGTAAACGTATGTGGCTACACTATCCCAAAGGATGCACAGGTGCTGGTGAATGTGTGGACTATTGGAAGGGATTCGAGCATTTGGGAGAATCCAAATTCGTTTTGTCCGGAGAGGTTTCTGGAGTCAGACATTGATGTTAAAGGGAGGAATTTTGAACTGACACCCTTTGGGGGTGGGAGGCGAATATGCCCTGGCATGCTGTTGGCTACGAGGATGTTGTTCCTGATGTTGGGTTCCTTGATTAACTCCTTTCAGTGGAAACTTGAAGATGGCTTCGAACCAGAAGATATGAACATGGATGAGAAATTTGGGATCACCTTACAGAAGGCTCAACCATTACGAGTTGTTCCTGTCAAAAAATAAACAATTAGTTTGTGGGATCAGAGAGTGAAAACGCTAATAAATATTTAAATAGAGAAAAAAAAAAGTGATTGGAAGAGATAAAATGTATCATTTTAGACTCTCCAATTGCTTTTTCAAGATAAGAGTTATTTGACAGTTTACTCTATTAAAAACTGAGAAAAATTAAACTATATTATTTTCGTAAAATGAATTAATATAAGTTTCAAAAGTTTAATTATAATATTGTTTATTAATTATTCTCTGCGCCATCTTCGCTTTTCTAAAATTGAGTAGGAAATGAAGCATAAAATTAGATTAAGCCTATTGATATTACAATATCATAATTTGGTATGATTTAAGTGTATTGAACCTATAGCTGTGGGGGCTACATTTGTTTCAATTTACAGGCCCATGATGATTTATGCAATGAACTGTTACCACGTAATCCAACCCATAAGAGAAATGGGTTAGGATTGACCCGAGTAGAGAATTCAGAAGAGAAGACAGAGAAATGTTATCCACAATCAACACACAAAATCGTTGCTTCTCTGGTGCTTAGTCATTGATGGCTGTGCAGGCTTTCCACCACCTACGCTCACCGCTCACATCGAGCTCGCACTTTCCATGGTTCCCTCCCCACTCTTTACGACCCAAACTCACTGCTTCCGCGCTCTTCAAGCCCCGACCTCTCACTTCCATCGCAATATCGCCGCTCCCCGAGAGGCGCCGGGTTCCGGTGGCCGGCGTCGTGGAGGAAAGCCAAGAGAGTTCGGAGCCTGAACCGGAAGTGGAGTCGAAAGCGGAGTTGGCATCGGAACTGAAGAAGGCGATGGCGGAGAGGAAGGAGAAAGAAGAGGACAGCTTGTTGAGCGGGGTGGCGCGTGAGATCGACGAGATTGAGTGGCCCACATTCGGGAAGGTTTTGGGTACCAGCGGCGTAGTCCTCGGCGTGATCTTTGGATCCAGCGTTGTTTTGCTTACTGTCAATGCCGTTTTAGCCGAGCTTTCTGACCGGGTTTTTGCAGGCAAAGGGATTCAGGATTTCTTCTCCTGACACACACCATACTAAACGAAATCAAAATCGTGCAATTTTTGTTACTAACCTTTCAATTGCTACATGATGGACCTTCCCCGGGTCATTCACGTGCTGTTCAATCTGAATCGTATCGATCAAATGTTGGTGTGTTACCAAACTAAATTGAACTGCTTTCACCCCCTTTTCAATTCAGCCAAGGTGGTTCTCTACATTGCCATCACTTTCCCTGTAACATTATGCTATTCAATTATATTGCTTTTTTTCATTAGTAGTATGTATCCAGAGGCTAAGCTTTGAAGGGACCGGAGGAGCATGGCTCCCCAAACTTTTTCAAAGTTCATATTTTTACGAGTGGTAAATGATAGATGGAAAATGAAATTTGAACAACCATTTTTGACAAAATTTAGACACGCGCACACGTGTCAAAATCTGAGTGGTCCATTTTCATTTAATTTTTTCAACTGGAACACTCAGATTTTGACACGTGTGCGCGTGTCTAAATGTTGTCAAAAATGGTTGTTCAAGTATATTTTCCATGATAGATATTATCATGTTTAGGAAGAAACTTCTGTCATATCAATACAAATGTATTTTATAATCTTGTTTTAAAAGTTGAAACCTTTTCGTAAAAAAATAAAAAAGAAGCTAAAATATTAATATAAACGTGTGTCTGTAACATGGCTCACGGTGTTCTTTTTTTTTTTTTACTTTTATCTGAGATCAATCACTAAACAATTACACGCTTTTTAAAATATCTCTGTAATGTGTTTAATCGATTAACATTGTTTTCAATGGCTTTTTTATTTATTTAATAATTTATTATTTATCATCATTTATTTGGGTAGACTTTTAATCAAATTTATGATACATTTAATATTATATTACGTACCGATAATTTCCTTTTCACACCATTTTCTAATTGTAAGAATACTATGCTCATTGACAGGCACCGGTTATTAGGATTTTCTCTTAAAACAGAGTATTAATGGAAAAAAAAACATTACCTAGGCCAACTTTATTCCCTCTTCTTTTGATACATTATTTTTAGCCTTTTGGAGCAAGTTTTGTTTAACTTTAGAAACGCAAACAGTACTCTAACAATCCACGTTAAAGCCTGCATAAGGTTTACAAGAAAATTCAAAAGCAGGTGAAAGCCTGAACCGGAATTCAGGTCTCAAAAGTCATGTTTTCAGCTTCGCGTCTCACTGACTCGAATAGCACGGATGACAGGTACCTCTCTCCGAAGCTGGGAAAAACAGCCTGCACCATATCCAAATGGAACCGTAACTCAGAAAAACACACCATAGATTCAGTTGCTCAAGAGTAAAAATAGAACAAAACATGAAAATACAGTCTAAAGCTAAGTAATCATGATAATGGTACTACTGCAGCAAGCAGTGTCAACCGACAATGCTTAAATCAAGTAATAAACAACATATTTAGTTTTCTTTATTACCCAATATAACAAATATAATAATCATTTGATGGATATTATGCATAACGAATTAAATTTATACTACAATTATGTTACTTTTCTAAATACTTTCACGGAAATTTTAGTGATATGATAAACTTACAACAATAAGCTTGCCAGCATTTTCTGGCCTTTTTGCTATCTTAATGGCAGCAGCAGCTGCAGCTCCAGAAGATATCCCCACCTACAACAATATCCAAAGTGGTTCAACCAGCTTAATTTTTAACAAATCCAAATATCCAATACAAAGTATGCTCAACACAATATATAGTGGGGGCTCGCTCTGGGCAGTTTCTATAGGTTTAGAACTTACAAATAGGCCTTCTTTAAGGGCAAGAAGTTTCGCAGTATCTATTGCTTCGTCACTTGAAATCTGCCAGTAACACATATCTCAGGTTTGATGGAATATTAACTATTGCAACTTTAAAAACAAAGACTGCAAAAAGATTAGATATTTGATAGCTTTCTAATAAAATACAACACATCTATACCATTTTTTTTCACATTAATTCAAATATGCATCTAAAAAATCAATTACTACATAATAGAAGTGAATCTGTATATTGTAAAATATTTCTTTATGTCAAGTCATATTGTATTCATAGCACCAAAATCAGCACCTAATCTTGAAAGATATCAGGAGTTCCCATTCTATTTAAAAGTTAAAACTGCTAATCCACATGTGATGTGAAATTTAATTAAACAGATTAGACATAATTATGTCAACTAAATGCACACAAAAAATTATTGATAGTGTGTAGTTTTCCCACGAACTGGAACTTTATCCATGGCACTACTATGAACTTGCCCAAGGAAGACGAGAACCATAGCGCTTTAGGACAATTTTATGTCAGAAAACAATTAAAAGATTCTCAAACTAGAAATCTTCTTTAAGTGAACATTGTATCAGTATCATCAAATTAATGGAGGAGGAAACAGCCACATCAAATCAATAATTGGATATAAAAACTATATGCACATGATTACGGATGAACTTGCTTGTGCTTATTTTTTAGAAAATGTTTTTTTAATAGAATAAACAGATTTAAGATTTTTTTATGCGTTTGACTGATCTGCTTATTTTAAAATTAAGCAGTTTTACGTTTGTTTAATAAGCAGATCATATTTGTTTCCTGAATAAATTATTATTTCAGAAGTTGCTTATTTCAGAAATACTTATATTAAGTTTAACCAAACTGGCCCTAAATGAAAATAACTATTTTCATAACCAATAATATTTTTTGAAGTATGATTACATGATCACTTGAATAGTAATTATTATCCACAAGTGATTAAAACTTACTTGAACAACTTCATCAAGAAGATTGACTTCTAAGACACCAGGGATAAAACCAGCACCAATCCCTTGAATCTTGTGTGGACCTGAGCATTCAAAATGCAAATTTGCTAATTAACCACAACTAGAAAATAAAGTTCTTTACCTCAGCCCTAAGGATTTATTCTTGCTGAAAAATTGGGAAACACTATAGTAGTTACAACCTCAAGAACAAAACATACAAGAAAAGACAAATAGAAACTGATATGTAGTTTAAAGAGGAGTAATTTTAAGATGAAGAAAAGCCAGTATAATCACAGTGACATCAACTTTACATGATTCCTGTTTAGTGTGTCATTAGTTCAAACTCCGAAGAGCAATCTGGTCAGGATCAAGAAATGGTGTCAAGAAAAATTCACAAGGAAAGCTACGGCGAGTGTTATATTATGTACAAAACTCAGCAATAATCTTCTTTCAATATTATGGCCGGTTGAATAAGCAAAACTCAATCTTTCATGGACGATAGGAAGGAAAGTAGCACGATCATAGTATTCAATACTATACCTACAAAACACAATCAATTTTTTTAAATGCCAGTAAATAACATTCACATGGTAAACTAATCATCATGCCTTAACCCATCCACTAGGCTTGGTTACATTATAAATAAATGTCATTGTAATCATAAACCAAAATTGTAATTCCAACATGAAAAGAGAATGGCAAGAAAGGAAAGGGTAGAAGCAGGACACGCAAGCTTTTGTTTTACGTTTTTTGTTCTCTCCTAAAGTTCTCCTGAGTCTTTCTCAACCTTTTTCAACTGAACTCTATTCATTTGATTTCATGGCTCTCAAAACACAACAAATAAAATCAACTAGTAAAGCAGGGGTTTTATGGCTCACCACAAAATGACTGCACATTATTAAAGAGGTCATAATTCACCTGGTTTTCCTCCTGAGAGCACTGGACTTTCCACTGGTTCCACACCAATAAGCTGCATAGAGGGAAAAGATGCAGAGTACTTGAAAAGATAAAAAAGAATGATACAACTATAACAGAAACTCCGATTCTTTTACCGATCTAGGCAAAAATGGGGTGGTAATTACGGATGTGGGCAATTTTTTTTTATTTACAAAAATAGATAAGTCGTAATATGAAGAAGTCGTGCATGGATGCATGACTTTCACTCTGATACACGAGAAAAGGTGAAGTCGTGCACCCCACACACGTTTTCAGACCCGACTACTAGTAATCGATGAAAACATATGAGAATGCACCACTTCACCTTTTCTCGTGTGTCATAGCAAAAGTCGTGCATCCCCTACATGATTTCTTCATATGAAGTCTCTTGGGGCAGCATGAGTTGCTTATTTGTGTAAATAAATAAAAAATTACCCACATCCGTAATTAACACCCCATTTTTGCCTAGATTAGTAAAAAAACCCATTTCAAGAAAAATATTGTTCAAGTATGACTAAAAGTACCTAAACATGTATATCACGGAAAAACTAAATGCTAACCTTTACGTTTGAATTCTGCTCTTTAAGATATTTTCCAGCCCCTGTTATTGTACCACCAGTACCGATCCCAGAAACAAAAGCATCAATTTTGCCATCTGTGCCTTTCCAAATCTCAGGACCAGTGGTCTCATAATGTATCTGAAAAAACAGTATACATTGCGCAAAGTGTAAAGAATTTGGAGCACAATTTACAGAACACATGTGCTTATTTCATGTATACCTTCGGATTGGCAGGGTTTTCAAATTGCTGAAGTATGTAGGCATTGGGCGTCTTAGCCAATATCTCTTCAGCCTTCTGCACAGCTCCTTTCATTCCCTTTGCTGGGTCTGTGAGAACCAACTCAGCTCCAAAGGCTAATAGAATGATTCTTCTTTCGAGACTCATAGAAGCAGGCATTGTAATTATGAGCTTGTAACCCCTGGCAGCTGCCATGAAGGCTAATCCAATGCCAGTATTACCACTTGTTGGTTCAATGAGGACACTCTTTGGTAAAACAAGAGATCCAATATCAGAATTATATATAAAATTTCCAACTCAGCGGTATACTAAATTAATATCCACAATTCCCTTTCTCACTCTAAATAACAGTGTATTCATTTAGATTTAAAGTATCAGCAACTGGAGTGATATAAATTTCACTTAGGTTTTTTCTATAGAAAAAATTTACATTTTATTTTTAAATTTGGGTCAAAATGAAGCGTGACATATATACAGGAAGTTATACGATAAACTTCATCAAAGAGGATGCTCCAACCAAAACTGTGTTCTCTTGAAGACAAATTGAACAGATAGTTATCCTCTACTTATATAATGCGGGATATGGCAACGCACCACCTTTGTCTTACTCCTTCCTTCATAATCGAAGGTTTATGAACATCATTATTTACACGAAGCAATGAATTAACCATGGTATAGCTGTTTAAATAATAATCAAAGTCCAGACAGAAAAAAAACCGCATCCTTTGCTCCCGAAACCACAGCAGTTCAATATGATACCTTTCCTAATCTCTAATTATAAAGGTACACCAACCTTTCCAGGTGTGATTAGCCCCTTCTCTTCTGCGTCCGCAATCATACTATACCCAATCCTGTGAGACAGAAACAAGAAAATAAGCACAAAATCACAAAAAAGTAAAAAACAAGCACAATGCGAAAAAAACATGGATTTTAAAACTCGGAATCAGAACTCGTGACAACGGAAAAATTGTCACCTGTCCTTTACACTAGAGCATGGCTCCATCAACTCGAGTTTGGCAGCAACACGGGCAACGCAGCCATCCGCAAGTTTGTTTAGATATACTAATGGAGTTTTACCAATCAACTGCATGGAATAAACATCAAACAACAGTACACGATCTAGCAATAAAACACAAAAAAACTGTGCAGAAATGGTCATCAAATGCAGAAACTCACTTCTGTAACATCTTTGGCAATTCCAGACCTTTCAGCAGCCATTATATCTGGTCACCACAAAACAGATAAACAAAAGCTATTAGCACAGAGCCCACAAAGCTACCAAAAGACACACACGCCCATCAAAAGGAAAAGGAAGAAGCAACAAACCTACAGCTGATATTGATGGATTGGGATTGATTAGGGACAAATAAACACTAATTAAGAGGTGTAATTAGGAAAAATAGTTTGATTAATGTAATGGAAGATCATAAAAAAATACCTTTAGAAACGGGAACGACGATACCACGGCAAGCACAGGGAAGCGCCGATCTCCAATGTACACAAAGCTGACAAGACAACACTTACATTTCAGTCAGATTTATAGGAAACTAAAACGGTGTAGTATCTTGCAATGTTATATATTTTAATTTAAGTTTTCTCATTAATAAAAATAACTTTTTAATTTAATTTATTTAATATATTTATAAGCCAATTACAGTATTTGAGATAATTACTATTGTAATTATAAAATTTGTTGAAACTTTTATCTAAATTTTAGGCTGTTCACTAAATTAGTTTCCCAACATTTTTTTCTCCATTTCTACTGCAAAGTCGTTATCTAAAGTTTTGATTTTTTTATTTTTATTTTTACTACTTAGTAATTTTTATTGAAATCGAAAAGCTTTATAAGATTTAATTAATTTTTAATGGAAAAAACTATGGTTTTAAGAAAGTTATTTTTATTAAAATATAGATTATTAAACTTTATATTAGGTGAACACGTTTCAATAAAAAAATTCTGACAGTTTTATTTAGAATGTTACTAATTAAATATCTTAAATTTTTAATTTGTAAGCATGAGAATGAATTAGGGGAATTGATTGGATTAGGGATTAATTAAACTCACCACGTGGATTAATTTACAAACCAAATCAAATTTGCTAATCTTAAAACAATAAATAAAAGGGTATTCCTGCGCGTACATTCCCTGCTTACATGGCAAGCAAATTTTTTATCATTTTTTCTTACACAGAATCAGTACGGACCATAATATGAAAATAATATTCCCTCGAGATTGAAATTAATTTCTTAAGGGATTAATTTACTAAAAGAAATAAAGAGTGTTAAAGGAGAATAAAAAGAGATTAAATTAACAAGTAAAGTTTTTTTTTCTGTGTTTTCATTTTCCCTTCAATTATAAATATGCATGTTTTTTTCTTTTTATTTTATTTTATTTTATTTTGTGGCCGGGTGAGTAGTTGGATCAAATTGGTCCATTGGTTTAAATTTATGTATCATTGGTGTGAATACGTTCTAAATTGAATGTATAGAGTATTAAGAATGTTAAAATCATTATGTATAGAAAATACGTTCTAAAATGAATGACATAAAATTAAGAAAAAAAAGTTAAGAATAAGAAAAATATTTTATTAAAATCATTTAGAGTATTAATTAAATATAGGTTTAGTAGATATTTTGATCTTAATCAATTAAGTCCTTATCTTTAAAAATATACTTGATTGAGTTCATATTCTTTTTAAAAAATATATAAATATGATATATTTTATTAAATTATTATTAAAATTATTGAAAATGTTACATGTCAAAATCACATAAGTTTTAAAGTAAAAGATGTCGTTCGTTAATGTTAATTTAGTTAACTTATATTATATTAAAAAAAAATATAGTTACGTCGAAAACAAAATATAGTTATTAAAACAAATAGAATATTTAAATATAAAGATTAAATTACTGAATGAGAAGTTAAAGGATGAATTTGATTTGATTATAGAAAGCTTCGACTCCTTTAACTTATTTATTAAACGAAGAATCTAAAACCTTTTAGAAATTCCTTTTAATTAAAAATGTTGAACATATAAAGTTGTTTATTCTATTGAACTATATTTTCACACCTAATCATAAGTAGCAGTAATAATTTATTTATTAAATAAACAAATTATTGTCTGTCCGTAATAATTTATAAAACTCAAATTATATATGCTAATTAGAGTTCAATTTTGTTTCAACTAATTTACTTTTTATATAGAGATTATATATAGAGAGAGAAATGGATACTAAAAAAATTAAATATTTTTAAATTAAATAAAAATGTTATTTTTGAAAAAAAGTGATCGTGACCAATAACTAAATGGTTTGAGAGAATACAAGCAGCATGCACCATCCTTATTTGATTTTTTTTCTCTCTATATATTTTTTATTATTACTTAATTATTCTTGTCTATAAATCCTTCTCCTGTTTTAAGTGTATCTTGTACATTTAAAAAAATTAATATTAATTTTAAAAAATAAATAATTCATAAGATGAAGTAGTTGATAATTCTAAACTTATTGACTGTAGTCAGAGTTATTGGATTGTTTATAAATGTTATATATTTTTATCAAGTTTGGCTAAGAATTCATAAAAGACTATAATTGATAAACGGGTAAATTACAAAATAATCATATCATGCTTGTAACTGCCAAAGAATAGCTTGAATCGGTCTCCACAGTGGATGGAATATATTATTCAAACATCAAAGAAAGAAATGAGAAAATCAGATATATAATTTATTTAGGGTAAAAATGCATTATTTAAAAAATGAAACTACTCACCGAATTTCAATCCTTAAAAAGGAATGAGAGCAAAATACCAATATTTCTTCTTTAGACTTAGAATATATATTTAATGAAAAAAATTACAATTAAAAAATTAATGAATTTCAAACTTCTAGTACTTAAAAAAGGAAAGGATAATGAAAGCCAAAAAGTATTATGGAGTAAGATGATGACTGAGATTTCCTAGCATGAGTGTTTCTGAATATTTTGCTCTCAATCAAACATGGAATTCAACATTGAGAATGATTTAAAACCTTCTTAAAAATGTTTCCATAGAGAATTTTAACAGCTAATTTTTAGCTCACTTAAGTACATCTTATGTATCAGTTTATAGAGTCGCTCATCTGATGTAGAAGTGATTTGACCAATCCATACATTATTTTTAAAGTCAGATGTGTTAAGTTAAAATTACTTGATAAGGCAACTGCAGTGGTTAACTGTTGTATAAAGTGATTATTTTTCACCTTTTTTTATGTTTTACAATTTTTCTAATAAAATAAATGATTGTTATGCTAGTTTATTAAAATGATATTACATTGCTAAATAACTATGTTTTTCTAACATACCAATAGATATACATCTCCAACATATAACTTCTAGTGAGAGGTTGTCAAGTGTAAAGCAAATAATAAGAAATGCTCTAATCTAATGTTAGAAAAAGTGGAAAAATATTCATCAGCCATTTCTTGTGATATCAGTTGTTCTTTTGTTTAATACATAGGTTCAGAACCACAAATATCACGACTGATAGAATATTTTTTTAACTTCTTCTAACATCATATTAGAATACTTCTTATTATTTGTTTTACACTTGACAACATTCCATTGAAATCGCATTATTCATGTGTTATCTGTTGAAGAGATATAACAGGTATTGGTATATCATTTCATGTGATGTAGAACAGTATAAGTAGTTATTTAGCAAATGTGATATTATTTTAATAAGCAAAACAAACATAATAGTGCATCACTTATTGCTGAGAGACATGGTAAAACATGAAATGGAAAACATAAGATGAAAAATAATGATTTTATACCACAGTTCACAAATACAGTTGTCCTATTAAGTCATTTTAACTCAGCACAACTGAATACATGAATTAGTCAAATCTCTTCCGATCATAAATCTCTCCTAATGCTGCTGTTATAAAAGAGAGGGAAAAACCAACCAGACGGGATGGTTAAATTTGAAATCATAAACAAAATGACCAGTGATTTTGGTAAACCATCGAAAGTATTCTAAAGAAAAATTTTGGTTTTAAAGTGATAGATTAAATTTATACCGATCTTGAAAGTGCGTTCCACTGGAAAATTTTCCGTCAAGCTCTCCATCCCAAACATCATCATGTTCTGACCAATTTTTCAATGCATATATCCTCACCAAACCTATCTGGTATAACATGCGGTAGATAAAATAAATCATTATCTCCATCTCAACCGCAGTGTAATCCAAATTAGAATCACAAATACAAAACTCAGTTCATGAAAATAACCTACCAATAGAACTAGAGAGAGATTGTGATGAATTAATAAAAATTAAAACTAAGGCATTCAAAGCACAAAATTAGAGAAAGGTCAGCCAAAAGTTAAAGGGAACTTGCTGGTTCAATGAGAAAACCTTCCTAAAATAAGAAACCCAAATATTAATATTATATATTAGGCTGAAAAGTTTTTCAATTCACGAAATTATATGTCACCTTATAGTTAGTCTCTAAAAGCATGAAAATTCAAAATTTTTATCCTAAAATAAAACCCGTCTTTCATGATAATCTTTGTGTAACATAAGTTACTGACATGACCGAACAAGTGATATATCAACCATCACCTCCTCCTCAACTTTATCATGACAGGTAGCAGCCAACATGCTAAATGTGTCGTGTCAGGAAACTAATTTTGTTAGTTAACATAATCCATACAAAGGACTACCGTCAAAGACTGATCTTACTTTCAAATCCAAATTTTGAATTTTGACACTTTCAAGAACTGACTAGAAAGTGACATAAGGATCCAGAAGACTATTCATTTTATATATTAAATTGCCAACTCAAACATATACTAAATTAATACCATAATCCTCCTACCCATTTGATCACTTCTAACCATTCTACATAGCATTTGTAAGTCTAACCAGAACAAATTAATAGTGTATTCATTTATATTTGAAATATCAGCTGCTAGAGCAATATAAATTTCACTTAAGTTTTTTTCTACACAAAAAATAGGGTGAAACTGAAATATCCCATATATATATATNTTTCTTAAGGGATTTATTTACTAAAAGAAATAAAGAGTGTTAAAGGAGAATAAAAAGAGATTAAATTAACAAGTAAAGTTTTTTTTTCTGTGTTTTCATTTTCCCTTCAATTATAAATATGCATGTTTTTTTCTTTTTATTTTATTTTATTTTATTTTGTGGCCGGGTGAGTAGTTGGATCAAATTGGTCCATTGGTTTAAATTTATGTATCATTGGTGTGAATACGTTCTAAATTGAATGTATAGAGTATTAAGAATGTTAAAATCATTATGTATAGAAAATACGTTCTAAAATGAATGACATAAAATTAAGAAAAAAAAGTTAAGAATAAGAAAAATATTTTATTAAAATCATTTAGAGTATTAATTAAATATAGGTTTAGTAGATATTTTGATCTTAATCAATTAAGTCCTTATCTTTAAAAATATACTTGATTGAGTTCATATTCTTTTTAAAAAATATATAAATATGATATATTTTATTAAATTATT